AGAGAGCTGTCTATGCTCGGACGCCATCAAACCTGAATGAACTAGAGATGTTTTGTAAAGAGGAATGGTCCAAAATACCTTCAACCACAATCCAGACTCTCATTGGAACCTAGAGGAAGTGTTTAGAGGCTGTAATTTCTGCAAAAGGCGGATCTACTAAATATTGATTTCATTTCTTCTTTTTTTTTTTTTTTGTGGTGCCCAAATTTATGCACCTGCCTGATTTTGTTTAAACAATTATTGCACACTTCCTGTAAATCCAATAAACTTCATTTCACTTCTCATATCACTGTGTGTCTCCTATATGATATATTTAACTGACATTTTTTATTGTAACAACCAACGATTTATACAGGAAAATAATGACTATTAACAAGGTTGCCCAGACTTTTGCATCCCACTGTATCTATCCCAAAGGTATTTGAAAATGAGTTTTATCACAATTTCATTATAATTTTTACCACTAAAACACAAATTAAGATTAATCACTAACTTCAGTTTTCTCAATTATTCTTTTATTTTGACTCTTTTTAGATTCTAGAAACTTTGTGAGGCAACTTTTAAAGTCCTAAAATGTTGTATTTTGACATTTTACATAGGATGTTATTCATAAGTGAACAAGAGAAACTTGTATGCAATTTTAGCAGATGGAACTACTTAAACGTCTCAAGCCAGTATTTCTCAGTTTTCTTATTCTTGTCAACAGATGGTGCCTTACAAAAACTGATAATCATGGTGACAGAGCTGACAAGAGAAGCAAGGGACCTCCATCAAGAGTTCAAAGGCTTCTGTCAGTCCTGCTCCACTGAACCTGTTGATGCTGAGGTTTTGCCTCACAGTTAGGATGCAGTGGACAGTTTGGTTAAACTGCTTAATGATGATCTGCTGCTGTATGTACATACAGCAGCAGATCATCATTGGAAGATCCAATAAGAGGAGGTGAAAGCCATTTCATTGCAATATTTTGGTTAATTCTTATCACCCTGGAATATAGTGAACAGGTTAACAAAGTAATGCCGCAATTTGTTCCTTGTACCTTCTGTTAAACTGTGGCACTCCAGCACTACAGCACGTGGGCCAGTCTCTCTTTTCTTCTCTAAAGGCTGTCTGCCTTTCATGATAATATGCCTAGTAGTGTGTCGACTTTCTCCCTGCTAAAGAGTTTTGGCTAGAGGCTATCATCTGAGTTCAGATGAGCCTCTCTTTCTTGTGCTTTTGATTTTTTTTATTTTAGATGGCCTAACTCAGCAGGTAGGGGTAAATTGAGTTTCTGAATTTTCCTTTGCCCAGGCAGTGCTCCAGATTGGCTGGGTGGTGCAGGACGCCAGATATCCACCTCCATCCTGGTGTAAACAAAAAACAGGGAATTTAAAGTAATATTTTAAAGAAAATAATGTCTTTATAAAATAAACTTTTTTCTTAAGTGATGCAAAGATCTTCATTGTCATTTTTATATTAGATAAACCCTTATGCTTAAAAATGTTTAAAAACTGTTAAATTGTAACAGAATGGTTTACAGATAATGTTTATCCTTTTTTTTTTACATGATGCGTAATATTTTTTACCACAGGTTTAAATAATTTGCAGTGGTTTGATACTGATTGATATACCTGCAAAGTCCTGTTTTAATCCTGATTTCCTTGTTGGTTCAATGTTAAATGTAAAAATGTGATGAAAAATGTCAGATTTCAGCATTGAATAAATTAAAATAATGTTGATAATCTGATATTGATTTAATATTTCAGTGAATGTTCACTACCATGGAAGCCTCCTGATATAGGACCTCAGTCTTATTTTTTTTTTTCTGTTTTCATTATTTGTTTGTGCTTGTCTTTGAACTCACAACACACCCTTACTAGGCGATAACTGATACTGCTGAGCAGTGTGTTGTCTTCCATCAGATCCCTATGAGGAATCAAAAGAACTCTGTGAAGTGTTGATATTTAACAAGAATCAATAACTTGATCAGGGGGTTTTGTTTTGTTTTTTTCCCTGCAGGTGCCATACAGCAAGGAGGAATATTTGAGCCCCATTGAGGAATTCATCCACTTCTCCATGCACGACCCCTCAATGCTGCAAGTGGCCATGAAGCTGATCAACTTCATGGGGCGGAGCTTGGACTTCGGGAGGCAGCAGTGTGACGGGATTCTAAAGAACGATCAGTTGATGGCAACTCTGCGGGATGCCGCTTTCGACGTCGTCCTACTTGACTCCTTGGTAATGTGTGGCGACCTGGTGGCTGATGTGCTCGGCGTGCCGCTCGTCATCTCGCTACGCTTGAGCTTAGGCAGTGTTTTTGAGCGTCACTGTGGCCACGCTGTGTTTCTGCCGTCTTATGTCCCGGTAGCTCCTGTGCTGTACAACGACCACATGACGTTCACGGAGAGACTAATCAACTTGGTGACATATGTGGCGTCATCAGTGCTAACCGAACTGGGCTGGAAGCTGACGATGGATAAATACTACAGTGAGATTAAAGGTCAGAGGTGAAATCATACTGATGTCATCGTCTGTCTGAATTCATGAGGCATAAGGAATAAAAGTAAACTAATCCAAGCTTTTATTTTGAAGTCATACGCCTTATTTGCTGTATAAACAGGAACTCCCACCAGTGTGTGTGAGACTCTGGGGAAGGCTGACGTGTGGCTCATCAGGACGTTCTGGGACATCGATACGCCACGGCCAACCCCACCCAACTTCAAACACGTGGGTGGTCTGAACTGCAGACCCGCCAATCAGCTGCCAGAGGTGTGAGCTCTGATCATTGACAGTACTTGTATTCTGAAATGACACAGTTAAATGATGATGTAATGATGATGTCACACCTTACAGGACCTGGAGGCTTTTGTGCAGAGTTCAGGTGATCCTGGTGTAGTCGTTGTTTCTTTTGGTTCCATGGTACCCAATCTGACGATGGAGCGCACCAACGTCATCGCCACCGCCTTAGGACGAATCCCTCAGAAGGTCAGGGCACTCACAGGCAAACAGAATATGGGTTATCATATCACTGCATCCATTGCAGAATGAATGTATTTAAAGCATTTAAGCATTGAAAAAGTGCTAGTACGAATGGATGAATGAGGAAAGCTCAGTAAAGTGCTTTGAGTGCAAGAACTTTACCTGTTTGTTGGTTCTTTGAACCAATGAGTATATCATTCCTTTCAGGTGATTTGGCGTCACCGTGGTGAAGCTCCACCTGCACTTGCGCCAAACATAAAGATTTCTGATTGGATCCCTCAGAACGATCTGCTCGGTGTGACTCATTTATGTTATTATAGGATTGTATGGAAGGGGGTTTTTGTTTTTTAAATTGAAAAGGTGATTAGAAACTGAAATTATTGTGCTGTTTAAAATGAATGAAAAATGTTATTAAAAAGAAATGAATTAAAATAATTCTAATCAAATTTTTTTTAAGTTTCAGACTTGTGACCTTGCTTTTGTGTTGTGGGCGTGTATCCAGAGGGACAGGGCGTAGACTAATGATAGACAGCTCCTGTGTCACATTTGTTGCAAATTAAAGACGCCATAATACATTTTTAAACATATGTATATTAACATGGTACAAACATTCACCTGTTAATATATTTCATCATAGAATAATCAGAAATAGTGTTTACCTGTTGGCTGCTGTCAGCCTGGGAAGTGGTGGCCATCTTCAACCAAACTGCTAATTTATAAATTGTCAAACATCAGTCTGTGCCCCGCCTCTTCCTCTTGATACACGCCCACAACAAAATAATTCATTTGTTTTCTAAACACATTTTTAAGAAAAATGTAAATAGCAAAACTTAGAATTTCAGTTTCAAAGCACTTCTTCAGTCAAAGCGAACCTTTTCACCTTGATTTAGCTCAGTGTGATTTCAAAAGAAAAGCCTAACACGGCCTATTTTTTCCAACATTTTCAAAAATATTTGTTAGGTTCTTTCACAGTTACAGTTTTGTTTATTTCCCCCCCTCAGGTCACCCGAAGACACGAGCATTCGTGACTCATGGCGGCACTAACGGTCTGTACGAAGCTGTGTTTCACGGCGTGCCTCTGGTCGGCTTGCCGGTGTTTGGCGATCAGTCTTATAATCTTAACCGTATGAGCCACCTCGGCACTGCCATCGTCCTCGACTTCAACAAAGTGACAGCCGAGGAGCTGGCAGAAGCACTGCATGCCATCGTCAACCAGCCGAGGTAAGGGTGATTATACTGTGAAAAAGGTATTTTATGTACATTTCTGTGCAAAGACCGATCTCCATGCACTTGGACCGTTACTAAATTTTGATTTCCTGTGTTTGACCCTGCTCCGTCACATTAAAAGTGCACTTTTGTTTAACAATGAAACAGCCATGTGACTTCCTGTACGTTTCCCATGCACAGCTACAAGACCAGCATGCAGCGTCTGTCGGCGGTGCACCGCGACCAGCCGGTGACGCCACTGAATACAGCAGTCTTCTGGTTGGAGTTTGTTATGCGACATGGTGGAGCTAGGCATTTGCGGTTGGCTTCACATAATCTGAACTGGTTCCAGTACCACAGCTTGGACACAGGCGCTGTCCTGCTCATCACTTTGATGACTGCCGCTGCTTTGTGTTGGGTGGTCATACGCTGCTTCCTGCAGCAGTGCAGACGACGAGGAGGAAGAGAGAAGGAGGACTGAAGAAAGATATTTTTGAAGGTAAATATGTTGCAAAAGGTGATAGGTTGCTTGGGGCAGAAGAAATGGCAGTGGGGGTAAACCAGTCAGAAAGCAGAAGACCAAAAGGTCTCATTCCTCACTGTCCTTGGTCCTTCATGCTGGATTTACAACCAGAGCACGGAAGGTTACTGCAAGTTTCCTTACCTTTCCCAGGGTCTACTGTGCCTCTTACCCTATGAGAGCTGCAGGCTCCAGCCCCTCTTTAACCTAAAAAGTGGGAGAAGATGGATGGATAGGAGTTTGCAAACTTTTAAGAAATGTTGCAAACATCCAAAAAGAAGAAAACATATTTATTATACTTAAAATTCAGTTTAAACTTCTGCAAGGTGAAATAGTTGTCCTTCCTTTCCCTTGACGGCATGTGCTGAGAAAGTTTCAATAGTCCATCGATTTTCTGACTGCAGAAACTGCCCCAAATTTTCCCTCCCTAGACACATTCAACAGTTTACCTCAGCAGGAGAAACACAGTTAAGAATGACTGCTAAACCACTAAAGTGATCCAGGTTGTGGAGTGCGCAGCTCACTGGGACGCTTACATAAAATGGGCGGTCGTTAATGAAATTTGTCTCACCTGTGCTTTTCCTGCTAAAGGTCTTTAAGCCTCCAGGGACGTTTCACCTTTAAAACAGCACCTGTTATCTGCTAAGCCTGCTGTGAGGAGGGCTGCAGTGTAATGCAAGCAGATGGAGAATCATCAAAGCTGTTTTTCTTGTTGTGTTTGGGGGTAGCAACTTTGATAGATGGTGCACTGACAACACAAACCTATGTTGTCTCCTTATTCTGCTTCTCTGAATGCCAAAATCCAATACTTCGTGGCATTTCCAAACTGTAGAATAGAACAACCCTTGTCACTGTACATGCACAAGAAAATTGTGGGTGCTCCACACCAACTTTACTGGAATAAAATATGAATAGTAGACAGCAACGAATAAATAAACAAGAGAAATATTATAATATTCAGCCTTTACCCTGGTGATGGTGAAAATGTTAACTGCAGATCCTGATCAAACTTACCTAGATGTGGCACCATGTGATTAAGTGCTAGCATAATTCAAATTCAATACAACAGACACATTTGTTCATCAATCTTTATTCACTTTGCACTACACTTTTCTCTCAGCAGGAATCAAACACACCGATCTTCTTGACAATTAACGCATTCAATCATTTCAATCTTTATTTTAACCATTTTAAAACCCCGGCTTCAGCTCTGATGGATTAAATCCACTGCAGGTCACAAAGCCGAGCCTCTAGTGAAGCATAGCGAACATTTAAGTTGCATCAGTCTGTCATGGTGGGTCCTCAGCACAGCAGAAGCTTTACTTCTTACCTGTAGAAGAAAAGGAAAGCAGGAATTAAACGCACTGCCAACAAAAAAATATACACAGTATTTCTCTTAGCTCCCATTTAGTTACCCCTCCTCCTTGTCCCTTTCTTTTACCATGTTATTTTATCTTGTTAGTAAGTGGTGTTTCTATGCATGCAAATCTTTTGAGCCAGCAGTAACAGCTGGTTTACAGCTCAATATATATATTTCTTGAGACTGTGTGTCTACATCTTTAAGATTTTTCGGGGGGCATTTTTGCCTTTATAGGATAGTGAAATAGTAAAGAGAGACAGGAAAATGGGGCGAGAGGGGGCGAAAAAAAAAAAAAAAAAATGCAGCACAGGGCCGGAGGCCATCCTTGACTTCGTCCTCACCCTCAGTTGGAGCTGTCCCTGAGCTGAGAAATGTCTACTCATTTCTAATCCTGTCTGTTCTGATCAATCCCAATGCAAAGCTCAGCATTTTCAGCTCTGCCTCCTGTCTTTTTATCAGTGGTACTGTCTCACAACCTTACATCACTGCTGCTCTCACTGTCATTTTTAAACGTTGCCATTCACTCCATCCTGCCTGCACTCTCCCCTTCACTTCTTTTGTGCATTGGCCGTTGCTTTGAATGGCTGAACCCAGGTGTTTGAACCCGTTAGGTTCACTACCTCTACACTGTTACTCCTGCCTCCTTCTCATTTTCACACGTGTTCTGCCTTGCTTGGACTAACTTTCGTTCCTCTCTTCTCCAGTGCATACCTCCACCTTTATAGGCTCTCTTCCACCTGCTGCCTCCTCTGACTACAGATCATGACGTCATCCGCAAAAACAATATTCAACAGAGACTCCCGCCTCATCGGTCAGCCTGCCAATCATCACTGCAAACACAGAAGGGGCTCTGAACAGATCCCCGATGTGATCCCACACCCACCTTGAACTCATCTGTCACTCCTACAACATACCTCACCGCGGTCTCATTTTGAATCTGAAGTTACACAGAGACCATCAAAAGCTTTTTCTTTACCCAACAAGCATCAATAAGACAGATATTTAGGAGTAAACTGTTTGTAACTTGTCCTTTAAAATGCACACGCAGAAAGTTGATGACTGCCTTCAAGTGCTGATTAATGACAGAGTGAATTAAGGCAGATAAGGAAAACATATCCTGAATATGTTAAACACGCTTTGTTGTCCAGATCAATACACAAACACCGAGTCTGGATGCAATGAAAACCAGTTAAAAACAAACCTGGTATCATCCACCCCAGCGCTGTTTTTCAAAACACCCTTCACAGCATGAAACCTGCAATAAATCCAGTCAGCACGACACAAGGCAGATCATCATGAAACAGGAAGGAGAAGAAGTTTAGTTTAAAAGATGCCGGGCTTTAATCGAGGGCCAGAAAGACGCCAGAAGGCTGAACACTACAAGTGTGCTGGCTCTAATACCGAATCCTCGGGAAAGCATCAAAACACTCTGCCCATTACTGAACACACTAACGAAGACATGCCAACAAGCCTCATATGCTCTGTGTGTGTGTGTGTGTGTGTGTGTGTGTGTGTGTGTGTGTGTGTGTGTGTGTGTGTGTGTGTGTGTGTGTGTGTGTGTGTCCTCTGTAGTGGTCCACACATGGAATCTATAATTCCTGATTCAGCCTCCCCACTTTTTCTTTTAACTTTCCTCATGAAAGACAAAACAGCCACGACTTTCTTCAGAGATGCGGAAGGACACACACGGAGATCAGCCAGAAATAAAATGAACAGAAACACAAACAAGATGAAGACAGAGAAGAAGAGAGCCATGTACCAAACAAAAACATCAATACGGTGACCACCAGAGACAACCACAGTAGAACAACAGAGAGGCGCTGGGACTGGACAGACCACAGGGGCTCGTGCTGTGTGATGTGGCCCGGCAGCAGGCTCTCTCCCTGGGCACGATGAGTGTCTGTAGTGGTCTCATGGGCTGGAGGGGGTGACCATCCTGAACTAATTGGATCATCCTTACATGCATCCTGATCCTCTGAGTCATCACAAATTCAGCTTTCAAAAAGCCATGTCCTATTAGCTGTGGTTTTGTGGTTTGTGTGTGTGTGTGTGTGTGTGTGTGTGTGTGTGTTTACCATGACATGAATCGTGTGCCTCAAAGCCTTCTGTTCTTTCTCAACATTAAATAAAAAAGGGGTGGTGGGGGGCAATGCTTCTTTCTGAGTTAAATGTGTTAGAGGAGCTTGTGCAGCTAACGTGTTTGGTGCAGTTCTGCTGTGCCTACAGGTTTTCTTTGTGCAGGACTGGAAGTTTAATTATTCAAACCGACAGCGAGGACTAAAAGAAGGCAGTGGACTCAAACTGGTATTTGTTTGATGCTTACTGGGATTTGAGAGAGGCGTGATTGTGAATGTCAGAGTTTCTTTCACTAATTTCAGATCAATTTTCAATCTTTTCCTCATAAATTTTTAATGTGAATGTTTATGTATTTGAAGTCCGTGTGAAATGACAGCAGTCCAGCACAGCGGGCCATAGATGAACGAGGAGAGGATCTTAAAGGGGTGAAATAATAAATCAACCATGTTTTTTTTTCTTCTTCTGATAACTTTTTGGCTGCACCTCACTTTCATGATATCAAGGGTTGATTCCATGTGCTGTTGAAGATGCGTGAAACAGTTATTGTACCTTGTAACCTGTAATTGTCTTTTCTTTATTAAAAAAAACAAAAACAAAACAGTGTTACTTAAACACAGATCCTTTCTCTTTGTATGTGTGCTCTATTTTCTGTCCTGACCTGGAAGTTTGAGCCATTTAGGCACCTTGCCCGGGTCAGATCTGGCAGGTTTGGCGGCCTGGGTTTGTGTCAATGGGTCTTCCTCGTTTTGTGTGGATCCGCTGGCTTCCACTGTAGGCTCTGGGGGAGGCAGCGGCTCCCTGAAGCCACCAGAGCTCGAGGAGGGAGTTGAGGACTGGAGCATGCAGCTGAAGTAGGAAGGGAAAGAAAAAAAGAGAACAAAATGAATGACACGAGTATGAGAGGATGCTGCACTGAACAAAGTTGTCACATTTGTCTGAGTCATAATTAGTTGCTCCCACATAAATTTTGGTAAAGTGAGTAAAGGCAACATGCCATCTTATGCCAAAGGAAAATTGTCGCAAACTGAATGTTCGCCAAACTATGGAGACATCATCCACTGATCCTGAGGGCCTCTGTGATCCGGGCACTTGAGTTCATATCAATGAAAATTGATTTTAAAAAACTGTTTCAGGACATCAAAGTTGGTTGATCAGTGTAATAAGTCTAAACTATCATAAAGAACATGTGAACACCAATGTTGTCCCTTAATTTCATAGATGAAAACTACAATTGTGTAAAGCTACGACTAAATTTGAAAACTTGAAACAGAGTGAATGTAGGAAAAGGGGAATCTTACAGATACAGTGATTTATTTTGACCAACCATTTATCCCATATGGTGATTTTTCCGGTTACTGTCTACAGAAAATGCATTTTGTAATTTCCTCTGTCACCTGAACCTGTCACAGCTGGATCAGAGAGTATATCATGTATAACCAAAGTATGAACAGACCAATATATCAGCTGAATATCGATACTGGATTACATCTGGCTTGCTGACTGTTTATGTCACCCTGTTTAAACAGAATAACATTTACTGAAGTGGACGATATTTAAGAACTTAATTCTTAAAGAGTAGAGTTTGAAAAAATGCTCAAACAAGCACTTTCAAAATTAAAAAGTGACAGCATACCTTTCATATGATCTAACCACCTCTATCATATGCATGTTTGAAAGCTGAAACCCAAACCAAACTGTTCTAAAGCACAAAAAACAGATCAAACTTTCAGATCACCAATAATTACATCTCTTTGGAAACTGGCCTAGCTGTGTGTCGGGCCTATGCATAACTTCATAGACCATCACCTACAAGTTGTAGGTGTTTGCTGTCACCAGGGGGCAGCGTCCAAAACATGTGGAACAACTAGTCTGTTGCCTGTACTGCTGTTGGTCCTCCAATCAACCATGGAGAAGACATTAGTTACAACATATAATGAGATGAAGTGAGATTTGCAGCCACGGTCCGTTCTCACACTTCAGTGTTTGCGTTTCTCCCTCTACCTCATGAACTCTGATATGTTTTACTGGGCTATAAACCATCACTGCTGGTTTTCTGGAGGACTGCACACCACCATGTCTGAGTAGGATGCATACCAAGACCCTTGGATAACACCTACACCAATAAACCCAGTGCATCCTGCTTAAATAGGTGGAGTTTTGCTTTTGAAACTAGGATGTATTCCATCACAGTGAAGTTCAAGGTTGGTCAGAAAGAAAATACTCATCAAGAAAAGCAAAAATGTGGCTTTTCATCTTTAAAACCTATGAAAATCTAGCTCTGTGTTTTACTTCTAAAGTTATGAGGAATCACACATGCTGGAAAAATTTAAGTTTGACTAACCCTGAGCTTGAAGCTAAACGAGATAGTGATCTGAAACAGAGGCTTTGTTAATGGAGCTGAAGGACAACAGGTGGGGGTGACTTTTGGGGAGCTGGCTCTATCTTTAGACAGACTGGAAAATGGTGTGCGTGTGTGTGTTTGTGTGTGTGAGCGAGCGAGAGAGAATCTGTATGCGTGTGTAGGAAATGAGGGCGCATGGGGGCACCTGCTGTTTAGGCACAACCTCAAAGGGATTCCAATGATGACAGCTTTGTGACAGGAAAATAGGTTGGTTGCTGCGGGATACAAATGCATATATATACACACACACACACACACCCACCCAACCAACTGCACATTTAAAACACACACGGACACGTGCACATACCTTGCAATGGACTCGTTTGCTTGTACGGCTGAGACGGGGGATTCGAGCAGTTCTCTCTTCATGTAAAAATCTGTGAAGGA